GCCTGCTGTGTTCATCCAGCTCTACACCTTGTTATCTCAGATTCTCCAGCATCTGCAGTTCCTACTATCTCCGTTACATTAGCTTTCCTGATTACTTGCTGCACCTGCATGCTAACACCCTGTGACTCGTGCGCAAGACATCCTGATCTCTCTCCATCTTCAAGCTCTGCAATCTCTCACTATTTAGGTAACATACCTTTTTGTTCTTTCTGCCAAAATAGACAATTTCATGCTTTCCCACATTGTGCTCCATTTTTCAGATCTTTGCTCACTCATTTATCCTATCTATATCCCTTTGTCGGCTTCTTATGTCTTTTTCACAACTAACTTGCCTGTCTGTGTAACATCAGCAAATTTAGCTGCCATACCTTTAATCCTTTCCTCCAAGTTTTATATATATAATTTAATTATAAAGAGTTGAGGCCCCAGTACCAATTCTTGTGATTTTCCAATAAGAATTAAAGACTGGAGTTTGGTTCTTGGAATCTTTCTCAACAGAAAATAGCCCCATAAGTTGAAACATTGTGGATGTATAATAGTAAAGTGAAATAATATTTGAAACAAAATATAATTCTACATATAGAAGAAATTTGAACTCAAGTAACACAGCGACAATGGCTGTGAAGCTTGTTTGTTGGGGTGAACTGAGGTGGAACACAAATGATGTTAAAAGGGGCAAGATTGTCAATGACTACTAGACTCTACCATCTGTTTATAAAATGAAAACAAATCTTGCAATAAGTGACGTAGAGAGTCTGGTAGTTTTGCTGCTGGAGTGGTTCCAACATGATGTTGTGATTGAAACACTAAATGACAGTGAAATGTTATTAATCGCATGTTTCAAACAACATTGAAATGATACAGTGGGACTAATACTATAGAGAGATGTGAGGATGTTGTTTTGTGAGACAATGTCAGCATCTACTCACACCTTGATCTTTATGTAACACAGAGGAGTTCTGTGCCCTGCTGGCAAACAATGTAATAGAGAATATTGCAGTGTTCCTGATTGTGATGTAATGAAACAACATTAACCAAATCAATATTAAGTGAAGAATTACTACTGTACTCGGTTTTAGGATACCACTTTGTTAACTTTCTCACTGTTTGCAATCACAGCTTTATCAATCCCATACACATAAGGCTCCTGCTCTTCTGTTCCTGTCTGTTCTGAATCTGGTCTTAGCCCACATTGATAGTAGCCAGGCCACATTCGGTGGATATTGAAATAAAATGAATTACTTTCAGCACCACCTATTTGTGAAGATATGGAATAAATGACTCTTTTTGAATGATTCACAATTTTTGATCATTTCTTAATAAAAGTGTATCAAAGATCTGTGCTAACTGTGTGGGGCATTTATACACAAGCATGGAACAATGAATCAAACGAGTAAAATGGCAGAAACTCAAAGTCAGGTCAATCTGCATTAGAAAAGTTAAACAACTGGCAAAGTCTCTATTGCAATGATCTTTCGGGATTATCCCACCACTCCCTCTGAACAGTTCACACAAAATCATTTTATTTCAGAAGAAGAGTAAATTACAGCAATACATTGAGTCGGAAATGGTGCAAGAGAGACATGCACAGGGACTGAAATGGAGTTTGAGAGAGGAACAGATATGGAATGAGAGAAAGACACAAGGAAAGACATGGAGGTACAAAAGACATACAGGGACTGATATGGAACAAGAGTGAGAGGGACAGAAATGGACACACACAAATATATAGAAAACAAAAGATACACACAAGAGGGCAGTCAGAGAGCCAAAAAGGTAATGATGGAGAGTTAGGTATCTGATGGGGCACAGAAAAGGGAGCTTAATCTAGTATACAGGGATGATTAGGTCAGTAAGAAATAATTTAGTGAGGGTTACTTGATTATTGTAGGATGACTTGGTTACAATGTAGGGAATAGTTAATAGTGGGTCAGTGGGATATATGGAAAAGGGTTTAGGTTTTTTGAGAGTGACGTCAGTCTGAGGAAAAATTATTTTTGACAATGAAAGACATGAATAGAATTTCAAAACTACTGAATAATCAAGGATCAAAGGATGGGGAGGAAATAAAGGCAATAACTATCGCTAGAAAAATAGTGCTAGGGAAACTAATGGCGCTAAAGACTGACAAATCCCCTGGATCTGTAGGGATACATCCTAGGATATGAAAGGAAGCAGCTACAGAGATAGTAGATGCACTGGTAGTAACCTTTCAATAATCCTTTTGGAAAAGTCCTAGAAGATTGGAAAACTGCCAATGTAACACATATTCAAAAGGGAAAGGAGACAAACAAAACAACTATAAGCTAGTTAGCTTAACATTTCATTGGGAAATTGCTGCAATTTATTATAAACAGAGTAGAGTATTTAGAAACACATAAATAGGATCAAGCAGAGTCAGCATAGCTTCATAAACAGGAAATCAGGCCTGACAGACTTATTAGAATTCCTTGAAGAGATACCAAGCAGGATAGATAGGTGGAGAGATAGTAGTGGGGAACAAGGAAATGGCTGAGGAACTGAATAATTACTTGGGGTCAGTCTTCATGGTGGAAAACACGAGTGATCTTCCAAAAATTCAGGAGAATCAGTGGGCAGAGCTGAGTATGGTGGTCATCACCAAGGAAAAGGTGCTAGTTAAACTGATTGGCCTGAAGGTGGATAAATCACCTGGACCAGATGGACTACACTCCATCTAAAGGAGATAGCTGAAGTGATAGTGGAAGCGTTAGTGGCAATCTTTCAGGAATTGCTC